ATCCCACTGTTCAAGAGCTGTTTATTATCTTTTACTAAATAATGTCTTTTGGAGTACAGAGTAATCAAAAATACCTTACACGACTTACATATGTATGTATACATATAAATAGATACAGTATACATGGATGCACTTGCTTTTTTTTACTTTTCTCGTTTTTCTTAACAATTGCTTGTTTCTTACCTTGCCTTCCCATTACAAAACACATTTATAATGCCAAATATAAAATAATAAAAATAGCCCAGAAGGCGAAAGAGAGAGAGAGATGAAAAAAATCCTGGAGCAAAGACAATCTCCACAAATTTGTGAGTTTCACCACAAAATAAGGAAATGTAGTGCCTCTTTTTCAGCTTGCAGCTATGTTTGGCTGCCGCTTGAAGACTTGACTTAATTCACCCAGGCAGTAGTGTCTAAAAGTAATACACCAAGACAGTTAATTTTGGCACTTAGTCTCCCTTAGGAATTTTACCAACAGTCTTTGAAAAGAAAGTAAATGATCTTTTTTTTTCTCTCAGTTTCCCCCCATAGCTCATCTTGATATGTGCTAATAAAAGAAACTGCCTCCCCCCCTTCTGTTCTCACCCTTATCCTATGTCCATATCATCCTTCTTTCAATAACAATGTTAATCGGCATTTATAACATGGTCTTGGAGAAAAAGTGGTTTAGGTCTTTTCAGATGGCCTAGTTACAGAGGAAAAGGAGGTTATGCCATGTGAAATAACTTAAGATAGTGCAGTTTCTTTTCCTTTCCTTTCCTTTCCTTTCCTTCTCTTTCTTTCTTTCTTAACCTCCCCCCCCTCCTTCCCACCTCCCCCATTTTTTTGGAAAACACAGTAAAGTTTTGTTCAGTTCTCAAGTGTTATTAATCACTGGTGGAGGCCAAAAGCAGGGATATTTTTCTTGGCAGCACGTTTTGATAAACAATCTGTGTATGGGGTGAAGGGAGGGGGGAGCCTGTCTTGCTGGTAACTAAGCTAATGTTTGGCAGATTCTTAACTGTCACGAAAGTGCAAGTGGCTCTCAGTGGGAATAGCCTTAAAAAATGTACCGATTCAGTTGATTCATTATTGTTGATTGTTTACTACGTCCACAGGATGTAAGATGAAAACAGTCCAGGGACAAAGTAAAAATAACAACAGCGGAGGACCCAGCCTCTGCATATCCCAGCCTAAAACACGCTACCCAGTCGCTAGTCCCTTGCGGAGCGAGCAGAATTAATTATAGGTGTCTTATTTTGCACTGTAAGATTTGGCAAAGGTTAACGTGCGGAAATCTGGGCTCGCAGGCGGGTTTTAAAACCATAAAGACAGCTGTAGGAAAATCGATTTGGGGCGGGTCTCAAAGAGGAGCCCTAACTGCTTTCCGGGGCAGAAGCGAGAGGTTGCTGGGTCGCGGAGCTACAGAGCTGGCGCGGCTGGACACGGGGGGCGGCGGCGGCCCGGCCTCGAGGGCGGCCGGGCTGCGAGCAGGGCAGCCTCCCGCCCGGCTGTGCCCTGGGCTCTCCAGCAGCCAGCAGCAATGTGGAAATGGGACCGGTAAAACCGGAGGACACGACAGGCAGCGTCCGTTAAGAAATGTGTCCGCACTGCAGACCAAGGAGAGAAAGAAAAAAAGGAAGGAGGGAAGAGTTCCTAGGTGGGAAAGCGATAGGCTCTGTATGTCAGCAAGGCTCACTACCTGAAGAATGGTAGGAAAAACCAGAATTATAATGAGATGAGAACGGAAACGATAAACAGAAACACGTAATTACACTCCAATTCTTTGTAACTAGGTGTTTTGACACTTCCTGGCAGCTCCTAGTAGAAGACAATGTTGTTTAACTTTTAATTTGACAAAATTCTGCAACTCCTTCCTGAAGTGTTTGTGTTTTGATTTGCTGAACGCACTCCCTTTACCACCGAGTGCTCTGTTCACTGCTAATCTCTGCATTGTTTTGAGGCCAGTAATTTGATTGTGACAGATTTTATTTTGCTATACCGAGGTGAATCCATGTAAATCACACTCTCGGGAGTGCGCTTCCCTTCTGGTTCTGCTATTTTTTTCCAGCTGTAGCTGCTGTTTTGACCACTGAGGAAAGAGCCATTTCTGTAGGTGAGCGCCTGCAGAAGAACCAGCTGCTGTGGCTGCTGCACTGATCAGTGCCAAAACTTCGTAAAGCGAGCAGAAAAGAGTTAAACGTATTCCCAGGCTGTGAGCATTTAGAGCCAGACCAGACCGTTCATTCCGAAGCTGCCGAGATCATGGGCTCCTAACTGTTACTGCTTGCAAACTCTGGGGCTGCCCTGTATTCCCCATAATTAACAGTGGACTGCTGATCGATAATCAACAGTACTCCTCTCGCATCCAGATCAACAGTAATCCCCGTATTTTGGGAGCTCCTGCACGAGAACGGCACGGAGCAGAGTCCGGCAGACCTGGGGCGTAGCCAGGCACCTGGGTTTTGTGACTTCTTCCTTCATGGTGCGTTGCACCCTCTGCTTCCCATACCTGCTGGTGGCACTTAGAAAGGTGCTGGCCGGCTCCCGCACGCCGTCTTTCGTCTGATCGTTTGGATTCCTTCGTTTAAATCAAAGCTTCACCTGCTGCTTTAACGTTACACAGATGTGTACTTCCAAATGTGTGCGTGTGTACTTCCAAATAAAGAGGGTAATAGGAATGAAGGGAAAGGGATTATCGGATGGCAGTATTTATCCTAGCACTGAAAGGAAGGAGTTAGTAGATTTCACTTCTGATAGTGAAAATTATATTCCTTGTCCCTTGCGACTACTGGCAGGTCGTAAAATTTGGGCAATCTCCGCAGAATCCCTAATGCTGCATCGAAAGTGCTGACTCGCGTTCCTGCGTAAAAAGCATTAGCTGGGTGGCAATTGTTTGCGGCCGCGGCTCCGTCCCTCCTTGCGCTCCTCCCTCTTATATTAAACAAGCTACTGTCGGGGAAAAACAAGCTTGTGGGGGGGGGGGGGGGGGTTCTTAGGCGCTTTTTTGCTGTTTGCTCGCTTCTTTCTTTCAGTTAGCCAGATCAGGCACCTGAATGGCTTCATTGTTTGGGCTTCCTCTTTTCCTCTTCCAAACGTAATTTTAATTCCTGGATTATTTCAGAGCTAAATAAACACCAGACGTGTTTAGTATAAATCCAGCAAGACCTATCTGGATCGCTCCTGCCCCGCCATTCTGCATGGCAAAGGAGAGGAAAGGCGGAAGGTGAGCAGAAAAGCACGCTGCTACCCTCGCAGGGACAGCGCTGCCATAGATTGGAGTTTTGTTACATTGCCACCGTTCAATCTGTTTTCCCCTACCCGATTAGATTGATACTGACAACTCGTTCCCTGTGAAGGTGCCACGGCGTGGCATTTATTTGCATTTACATTGCAGTTCTCTTCATCAATCAGCTTTGCAGAGATCACCGCTGCTGCTGGCCATATTGTTGCTATGCTGACACTTCATCCTTAAGTGCCGCTTGCGTAATGGTACAGTACGTGCCCATGACCAAAGTTTAAATCAAAGTTTAATCATTACGGAAAAACAAACATATTTCCACGACTGTATCCTGCAAGTAAAAGTAAAGGCAGTTTGGTCGGGTCACAGATGCTAATCTCTGCTCTTTTTCTATTCACAAACTATAAAGGGAGTTGACAGCACCTGTAAATGGTTTTCTGAGGCTAGATTATATCTAAGGTGATTATTATTTACACCCACTATAAAGACTGCTCTTGTGAGCCAAGAAGTCTGTTCCTGTGAGGTGAGTGTTACCAAAAAAGGGCTTTCTTGCAGGATTCAGTGGAGCGAGGAGCCAGGGTGAGGGGCGGTTCAAGCACACAGAGTGCCTTGTCATGTGTTGGGTTTGTATAACCCGGGGACTGAAATACGGTCGGGATATGCTGCAGTTCTGCATTCCCAGACAGTCGGGATGAAGGGGAAAGCCTCAGCTCTCTCAACCTGAGTTTTTTAAGCAGGGGCTGACCTTTTCCCACAGCCCAGTTCTGCTTCTCATATGAAGAGCAACACGGGGCAGTAAAAGGATAGGAAAGGAGTTGACCTTCCAGTATGAATCAGAGCGAACACATGCTTGTTTAGTCAAGTGAAGTCATATTAATGCAGAAATCCTGCAGCCATCACTAAATCACTGTGGCTGGAAGCAAAGACTTTTACTTTGACCAGCTTTCATCTGCCTTCCTGGAAGCTTGCTTCTGCGAAGCCTCTATAATGTCCACAGTTTAGGTGTGAAATTTCTAAGTGTGAAATCCACTCTCCTTTAGTGCTTCTTCTTCAGCCAGTTTCCATATAGGAGACTCATATAATTCAAAGACTTTTCTATCTCTACTCGCTGCTTCTGCAAGCTTCCCCTGAAAAAGTCACTTTGTCAGAATTGATTTTCTTACTGTATTTTATCTGCTCCTACCATTTCTGTAACTTCAGCGTATGCATTTCATTAAGTCTTCCCTGTAAAATAATTCCGCTCACATACATATCACAGTCGTTTGCCAGCTTTATAGATTATAACCAGACGCACATAAAACAACTAAAAATGGAAATGAGACGCATTGGAGATATGAAACGAATTATTTAAAGCAACAACTTTTTGTCGTGTGAGTTTTGAAACGTTATTAACCGAATACAAGGGATCTTTCCTGCTCGGTGCTGCATCGCTGCTGGGCGTGCGTGTGTGTGTGAGGGAGCCATGGCACCACGCCACAGAAACCCCAAGTCCCTTTAAAGCGCAGGGGGAAACCGGTAATGGACGGGTTTTTCGGCGTGTCTAGCAACAAAGGAATCAGGAAGAGGTACTGAAGGAAAGAAACCCATCCAACACAGCCCAGCTGGGAGAGGCTCCGCGTTTATCGAGCGTTCCCCCCGCTGCGCGCTGCCGCCGCGGGCACCCGTGAGCCCGGGTGTACGCCAGTGACGCGATGCCGGTTGCCGCCCGCAGCGCAGCCCGCCGGGTCCCTGCCGAACCGCGTCCCCGCAGTGGGAGTTTATTATTCTTTGGACGTGGACAGCGATGTCGGTGTTTGCAAAAACAGCCACCGACTGCAGCGAGAGTAACAGCGGGCCGTGCAGAGCCCCTCCTGGCGAGCGCGGGCACCGGCGTGGCCGCGGGGGCGGGCGGGAAGCGGGCAACTTTGGGGACCGCGGTGAGGAGAAGGCAGGCTTCGGGGTTTTTTTGTTTTGTTTTCCTCCCAGTGAAATGAATTCTCGGCTTATTTGCATGAGCCGAGGCTGTTTTGAGTAATTTGCCTGTTAGCAGTGTTATGCAAATGTTAGCAAGCTATTTAAAGGGGCAAATAGAAAAAAAAAAAAAGCCGTGTGTTCTCACAGCGCAGGGGAAATCCTATGTCCCTTTGCATTAGCGAGATGAGATCACAGCGATTACTCACCTGCCTGGCCTCTCCTACACCCTTGAGCAACGCACAGCACTATCTTTCCCAGCCCAACCTTAAACACTCGGCAAACATGGCTGATTTAAACAAATCAAAAGTGGAAGAGCTTCTGATGTAGTCACGGGCTTACAGAAACTGTGTCATTCTGTCACCGGGATCACTGAAAGAGAAACACGAGATCGGATATTAAGGCGGGATCCCCCCCGTTTGCCTCAGCAGCCGGAGCGCACGGGAATCCCACCGACAGCCTCGGTGGCGGGACGCCGCGCAGTCGTCACGGAGGCAAAGCGGGGCGATCCGCGGGTTTACCAAATCCTGAAAACGAGACATTTGAACTTAGAAAGCCCGGCCAGGAAAAAAGCCACCCCACCACACCACCCCCCATCATTGTGCATGCGCTTCCTGGCCGCGTTTTCGCGGCGGAGGAGC